CACTGAGGTAAATCCCTGGCCCTGAATACACCTTGACCCAACAGTTGACTTTTTTATTTTTTTTTTTTTGGTTCCAGGGATCGAACTCAGGTCCTTGCCCTTGCACAGCAGGTGGTGAAACACTGAGCTAAATCCCTGGCCCTGGCTTGTGTCTTTTTAAATGTGTCCTCTAGCAATGCAGTGCTGTAGCACACCTCTGTGAATGCTAAATGTCTTGTACCTGCTTTATGATATGTAGCAGTGATATCCTGTATCAGAGAGCTTTTTTTAGTGCTGTTTCTCTAGAATGTTTTCCTTCCAGGTAATGATTGAAAAGCTAATAAAAAAAAATGGTGTGTGATCACAACAGTAATAGAACTTTGCTGTTTTCTATCTTTTTTTTTTTTTTGGTACCGGGGATCAAACTCAGGACCTTACACTTGTGAGGCAGGAGTCGGAACCACTGAGCTAAATCCCCAGCCCTGTTTTCTGATGTTTTTTTTTTTAATTTTTCTTTCCTTTTTTAAAAAAATAATGTGTGTTGTGTATGATTTTGTTTGCAGAGCCTGGCAAAGCTACTGCTATTGCTGTTGCTGCCTAACATACGCTACTATTGGTCTTTTAAAAATTTTTTTATTTGGTACCGGGGATTGAACTCAGGTCCTTGTGCTTGTGAGGCAGGCGGTGGCACCAGTGAGCTAAATTCCTGGCTCTTTGTTTTTAATAAATAAATTTTAAAAAGAGCTGAGAGTATAGCTCAGTGAAAAGGTCCTGTGTTCCATCCCCAGTACTGCAGACACACACACAGATTGGACTCTGGAACAACATCTGTAGGTTGAAGAGTTAAGCAATAAGCAATTCTGTATAAAGTACTACACTTGTCATTATAATTTATAGCAACTTTCTATACTTTTTTATTGTATGTGTGTATGTATGTATGTATTCATCTATTCATTTGTTTGAAACTGGGTCTATGTAGCCCAGGCTGGCCTTGAACTCAAGATGATCCTCCTGCCTCAGCCTCCCAATCACTGGGACTACAAGCCTGTGGCACAATGCTGGGGAGCAACTTTCTATTCTTGACACAGGTTAAATTTTAGAGTTGGAGCCATTAAGTATCAGATTAAACCTATGAGGTCCATCTCATTGGAACTGGAAATGCATGCTGAAGAAATGTACCAGTATATCCCATAGCTCAGAGAAAATCTGTTAGCACTAGGACATTGGACAGTTTTGCAGGTTGTAAATTAATATTCATTAATTAATATTTATTATGAATAAATTAATATTATTTAATTAATATTTATTAAGGGTCTCAGTATGTAATCCAGGCTGGCCTCGAACTCATGAGGATCCTTCTGCCTCAAGTGCTGGGATTACAGGTTCCTACCACGATACTTAGCCTAGGTTATAGTTTAAGATACTGGCTTATTTCTCCTTTATATATTAAAAAACTTCAGAGAATGCTCTTTTGGGCCATTTTGTATTGTGGTAAAATATATGTAACATAAAATTTACCTTTTTTTTCAGTGCTGGGGATTGAACCCAGGGCCTCTCTAGGCAATTTCTCTACCGCTGAGCTATATCCTCAACCCAATTCCAGCCTGTTTTAAGGGTCAGTGGTTTTAATCACATTTGCAATGTGTATCACCATCTCCACTGTAGGGAGCTTCTGACTTCTCAGACTAAACATACAAAATATAAATAATGATTTATAAATAGCGCTGTATTTTTTGGTACAAAAATTGAAAACATAGGGCCGGGGGTTTAGCTCAGTGGTTCCGCCGCCTGCCTCGCAAGCGGAAGGACTACAGTTCGATCCCCGGCACCGAAAAAAAAAAGAAAGAAAGAAACAGAGAAATATGGGTTTGAGATCTGGACCTGCAATTAATTTTTTCTTTTTTCTTTTTCAGTACTGGGAGTCGAACTCAGGACCTTGTGCTTACCAGGCAGGCCCGGGGACACTGAGCTAAATTCCCAGGTCTGGACCTGTCATTAGTGACTCAATTATTGGATAGATTTCCTCCTTCCTTCTCTCTCTTTTTTTAAATTATTTTTTTAGACAGGGTAACCTCTGGGATTACAGGTTTGGGCACCAGGCCCTGCCCATCCTCCCTCCTTTTTTTCTGGTTTCGTTTTTTCAGTACTGAGTATGGAACTGAAGACCTTGCGCCTGCCAAGCAGGCGTGGTGCCACTGAGCTACAACCCCTGCACTGTTTTCTGTTTTGTTTTTGAGGATATTTTTTGGTACCGGGGATCGAACTCGGGTCCTTGAGCTTGCGCAGGAGGCGGCAAAACCACTGAGCTAAATCCCCGGCCCAGTTTTCTGTTTTTTTGAGACAGGGTCTCATGTGGTTCAGGCTGGCCTCGGACTCGCAGCGATGCTCCTTCCTCAGCCTCGCTCTTGCCTGTTGCCTCCTTCTTGAACCCAGGGCTTGGAGCGTGCTAAACACATGCTCGACTTCTGAGCTGCGATCCCAGTCCTGTGAGGGCTAATTTCTGACCGTGGGGCTAGGGTTTAGAACAACCCGGGTCGCACAGTGGGAAGGAGCTGGCCGCCTGGAACGCGGAGGGCTCGCCAGGAGAGGGCTGGCGCGGGCGCAGAGGAGCGGGTGGTTGAGCAAAGAGGGCAGGAAGGAACCGCCTGGGATTTGGGCACTAAGGGGAGGAGCGAACAGATTCGCGCGGCCGCCGAGGCGGAGCTGGCGGTGCCAACGCCCAGGGGGTGAGAAACAACAGCCTAGGGCTAGCGATATTGTTTTTGACCGAGGCCTGTGGATGCGTGAAAGGTTAGGGAGGCAGAGGCTGAGCTTTAGTAAGGAGCTCTGAGGAGACAGCTGAGGTGGAAGGGAGCACGCTCAGAATGCCCGGACGGTCTGGGGGGAGGGGGCAGCACGGCAGAGGGGAGAGAGAGCGAGGGAGAGAGAGCGAGCGGGGGGGGGGGAGACCGGCTGGCTAACACAGGCCAAGGGCCTGGGCAGCGTGCTGAGGCAGTAGGCTTTGATAGGACCCCTCACTGACCACCCTTCCCTTCTTCTGTAGAACCCTAAGGCCCTGAAATGCAAAGCGGGCCGCAAAAACGCTGGGTGAAGTTGAGCAGGGTAGCCCAGCTTTGGTGACGCCTCCTTCCGCTCCCGGCCCCCGGCCCCGTCTCTAGGGGGCATGCCTCGCCCCGATAAACGTCATCAACCAGCGCCCTGCAGCCCTCAGTCATTCGGCCCCGCCCTCGCGGCGGCCGGCCCCCAGCTGCCCTCTCCAGCTATGGTCCTGGCCTGTGGTTTGTAAGTTGGCACCCGGGTCTCCCGACGTGGCCTGGTTTTGATGGCTGCGGCGGCGGCCCTGGCAGAGGCCGATCCCCCTCCTGCGATGCCGCAGGCGGCAGGGGTCGGAGGGTCCACCGCCCGGCGAGACTTCTACTGGCTGCGCTCCTTCCTGGCCGGAGGTGGGTGCTCGCGGCAGGGTTAGGGTCGCGGGCAGGTCGGGTGCCAGCGGGGGCGATGACATTCCTGGGCTCCAGCTGCTTCATTGTTCGACTGGATATTACCCTTACTTCTTGTGATTTCTTTCTAATAATAATCACCTGGCTAATGACAGCTAGGTCTTGGGGTCTTGGGTTCTCGAAGATGTGGAAAGGCTGAACTGGAGATGTGGGAAGGCTGAACCAGGCACCTGTTCTAGGATTGGATAGCCGGAAAAGAGAGGAAACCTGGCATGAATCATGCTGAATACCCCTTTCTTTTTTTTTTTTTTTTTGGTATTGGGGATTGAACTCGGGACCTTGCGCTTGCAAGGCAGGTGCTGGAACCACTGAGCTAAATCCCCTGCCCACCCCTTTCTTTTATCAAGGCCGTAGGTGACAGTGTAGAAACTGGATTTTCTGTTTGCTTAAGGGAAAACAAATATTGGAGACCAGCTTTTTAAAGATGATTGGGAAATTGTGCAAACTTATCTGCTACCAAAAATACTTACAGTGATTCTAGTAAACTGTGCCACAACTGCTTGACAAGCCCTAGTATTGGTGTTACTGTGCGGCCAGAAGAGCCACATTGTCTCAAAGAAACTTCCACTGCTTTCCCATAAAGACATGTGTCAACCTCTACTCCCTATAGTTGCTTGAGTGAGCTGTCATCACTTAATTATTTAAGCCTAGGAATTTTTACAAAATCCACATTATGAGGACTTGTATAAATATAGTATCTGTAGACTCCAAGAGTATTAAGAATTTAATTATTTTGTCCTGATAATAAAAAGGACATGTGTTTATTCATTCTGGGAATATCGGAGTGCCAGCTATGTGCCTGCTTTTTGCTTGGAATACATCAGGGAAGAAAACAAAGATCTGTGGTCTCCTGGTGTTTACATTGTTTCTGGAACTTTGGAGAGAAAGACAATAAAATAAGGTAACTTGTACAGCGTGTTAGAAGCATGGGAAGCGGAGAAGTAAAGCAGTGTGTGGAGTATTAAGTAGGATAGTTCTGCGGAGTCTTTCTCATTGAGAGGTTGAGATGAGGAAACTTTTTTTTTGCTGGTAGTGGGGTTTGAAACCAGGCTTTCCCTATGAGCTACATCCTCAACCCTTATTTTTATTTTTTATTTTGAGGTAAGATCTTGCTCTAAATTGCCCAAGCTAGCCTTGAACTTGCGATTCTCCTTCCTCAGCCTTCCTTGTAGCTGGGATTGAGGCATGCAATATCAGCTCCCCGTTGAGCCAACATTTGAAGGAGTGAGGCCATTTAAAAATTCATGTCTAGGGCCGAGGATTTAGCTCAGTGGTTTCGCCGCCTGGTGCGCAAGCGCAAAGACTCGAGTTCTATCCCAGGTACCAAAAAACCCCAACAAAAAACCCCCCAAAAATTCATGTCTAAGGAGGAGCGTTTCATGTAGAAGGCAAAGCTAAAGTAAAGACTCCAAAGCCAGAGTGGGCCTGATCTGTTCAAAGAATGCTGCAAGATCAATGGCTGATTGGGAAAGAAAGTTAGGTGAGGAGCAGGGGAGAAAAATGGAATTTGGCAAGTCCTAAAGATTGCAGCTTTAAAAAAAAATGTTTCCCTAGTTCCAGGATTGAACTCAAGATCTTGGGCTTGCCAGGAGGCCGTGGCACCACTGAGCTACATTCCCTGGCTCCTAAGATTTTGGCTTTATCTTACAATGAACGGGGGAGTCATTCCAGACTGAGCAGAAAAGTGAGGTGATATGACATAGCTGTACCATTGAGTGTAAATGTAGGGGGCAACTAAGGAAGTGGAGACCAGATTGGAGGTTACTGGCATTGTTCAGATGATAGATTGGTGGTGGCTTGGATCAAGATTGTAGTTGTGGGGTTGGTGATAAGTTGTAAGATTATAGACAGAACAAATAATTTTCTGAAAGAAAGAGTAGAGATGGGTGATGAGAAGTCAGGGGTGACTCATTTTGGCTTGAGCAGCTGCAAAGATGTGACTGTCGTTGACTGAACCCTGTCAGTGGAGCATTTTTTGTGTTGGTTGTTGGGAGGGATCAGTTCAGTTTCGGACATGTTACCTTTTGTGATGTAGATTAAACATTGAGCTATAGTCTTCAGGACATGTGGGTGAGGATTGCACCAGTACTCCCATATACTGCTGGTAGTGTGAAGGGGTAAAATCAGTTTGAAGAAGAGATGACTGTTTATCTGTAAAGCTCAACATTTGCATGCTGTATGACCTAGCAGTTCCTAAGTACATGCCAATGTACAAACTGTTTCTCTTCATAGCTGCCATATCATCATAGCCTCAAGCTAGAAGCAGTGTTCTCTGGGAGATATACCTGAAGTATGGTGTAATCAAAGAAATACTGTGAGGCACTGAAAATGAATAAATTCCTATCATACTCAACAATTTGGATGAATCTCTCTATGTAATTTTATTTTGTTTTGTGACAGGGTCTTCAGCATCTGATTGTGTAGCCCAACCAGCCTCAAACTCTCAATCCTGCCTCAGCTTCTTGAATGCTAAGATTACAGGCATATCCCTCCACACCTGATGTTCACAAGCACAGAATTGAGCAGAAGCAGCCAGGCACAAACAAGCATACTGTGATCACATATAGTAATAAAGTTCAAAAACAGTTGAAATGAAATCCATGATGTTAAAGTCAGAATAGTAGTTGGTTATCTCTGAGAAGGAAAGGTGAACAGCAATTTGGGGAGTATCAGTAAGGGGCAAGTAACACTGCATTTATTGATTTGAGTCATCCTTAAATGAATGTGTTCACTTTGCAGGGCTTTATTTTTTTCTTTTTTCTTTTTTTGGTACCAGCGATCGAACTCGGGACCTTGCACTTACGAGGCAGGCGCCTGAACCACTGAGCTAAATTCCCTGCCCTTAGTGCTTTATTTTTTATTTTTGGTACCAGGGATCGAACTCAAGACTTTGTGCTTGCTGGGCAGGCATGGCACCACTGAGCTACATCCCTGGCCCTGCAGTGATTTATTAAATGGGACTTTTTGTGCCATTTTTCTGTTTTTGCACTGTTTGTGTACTTTTCTGTTTTTTAAAAATTTTTTTATCTTTTTAGTCCATGTTGGCAGTTCATGATGATCACATTCCTTGTGGGAAATTGGTCCATGTACAGAACACATCTCAATTCTTTTTCCTCCCCTTCCCCCTCTTTTTCCCTAATCCCTTCATCTCTTGGTCCCTTCCCTTTTGCAAAAGATCTCCCTATTTCATATTATCTAGCTTTTATTTTGCTCTTTATTTATATTTTGGATTTCTCATGTAAGAGAAACCATACTATATTTAAGCTTGTGTCTGATTTATTTCACTCAACATTATGGTCCCAAGGTGCATCCATTTTCCTACAAATGACTGAAATTTATCCCTCTTTATGGCAGAGTGGCACTCCATTGTGTATAAATACTACATTTTCTTCAGTCATCTGTTGATATAGGCTGCTTCCAAGATGAAGCTATTATGAATTATGCTGCTATAAACATGAGTATGCATGTATCAGTTTAATATGTGTTTAAGTGTTTTAGGAAGATACCTAGAAGAGGAATAGCTGGGTTGAATGGTATTTCTAGTTTTAGTTCTTTGAGCAATCTCCATAATGATCTCCATAGTGGTTGTGCTAGTTTACATTCCCACCAACAATGTAGATCCCGCCCACCGTCTTACCAGCATTTGGTTATTATATTATTTGATTTCTTTTTTTTTTTTAACACTTGGATTACTTTTTTTCTGTTTTTTTTTTTTTTTGTACCATGGAACTCAGGACCCTGTGCTTTCAAGGCAGGTGGCAGAACCACTGAGCTAAATCCCTGGCCCTCTCAGGGTTGTTTTAATTTGCATTTCTCTGATGGCCAGTGATGTTGAACATTTTTTTCATGTATTTGTTGGTCATTTGTACTTCTCAGATGTGTCTATTCATTTCAGTTGCCCAGTTTTTGATTGGGTCTTTTATTTTGGGGTTCTAATTTTTTTGAATTCTCTATATATTCTAATATATTAGTCCTGTGTTCGAAGAATAGCTTGATGTTCTTAAACTCCTGGCCTCAAGTGATTCTCCCACCACAATCTCCTGAGTATGGAGTATCCACAGTTTATGTCTGTTGATGTAAATTTGTTTGGTTTATGGTTTTTGGCTATTTGACTAAAGAGACTGTGAAAAGTTGCATACAGATCTTGTGGGTTTTTTGTTTTTTGTTTTAGTGCTGATAAAACCCATGGCCTTACACATGCTAAGCAAGCTCTCTTTTACTGAGCTATGTCCACAGCCCACATAACAGGTTTTTATGTGGCTTATGTATATATTGCACATTCTTTCTTTCTTTCTCTTTTTTTTTGATATTTTGAGATGGGTCTCGCTATGTAGTTAAGGCTATCCTTGAACTCCCTATGTAGCCCAGGTTGACCTGGAGCTCACAGTGATCCTCCTGCCTCAGCCTTGCAAGTGCTGGGATGATAGGTATGCACCACCACTCGGCTCCTTCTTTCTTTTTGAAAGTTTTTAATTTTTTTTGAGACAGGGTCTCACTGGCTTCAAACTTGTAGCTATTCTTCTGCTTCAGCCTCCCAAGTGCTCCAATTACAGTTGTGGGCCACCAAGCCCAGCTATGTATATACTTTCTTCTTTGTGGTGAGGAATATGGAACCCAAGGCCTCACATTGATGTGTTCTACCACTGGGCTACACCCACAAGCCCTTGCTTTGTCTTTTCTTGGATAAATATCTAGGGGTGGGACTGTGGAGTGTTAAGAACATCATACGTTTAACTTTATTCTTGTTTTTACAGTGCAAGAATCAAACCCAGGGTCTCATATATTCTAGGCAAGCTGAGCTCCACTTCCAACCATGTTTGACTTTATAAGAAACTGCCAGGGGCCGGGGATTTAGCTCAGTTGTTCCGGCACCTGCCTCGAAAGTGCAAGGACCCGAGTTTGATCCCCAGTACCAAAAAAGAAACTGCCAAAATCCTTGTTCTATTATGTATCCCCACTGGCTTGTCGGCACTTGGCATTGTGAGAGTGTGTGTGCATGCGCACACAGGCGTGCATGCCATTTTAGCAGGTGTTTGGTGGGATCTAATTGTGGTTTTAGTTCACATTTTCCTGAAGAAAATGATGCTGAATATCTCCCCCTATGTTTATTGGCCATCTGTGTTTAAGTGCTGATTCAAAACTTTGGGATACATGTACTACTTTGAGGTATATATGAAATATGTACAGGCGTTCCAGGTCCAAGTGATATGACAAAAAACCATTGGGTGGATTACTCAATTTCCAGTGCCTCAGTTTCCCCATCCTTGAAATAGAATAGTAAATGTACCTACCTTAGAGGAGTGAGGTAATGATTAAATGAGAGTAAAAGCCTTGGCACTGTGCTTGCAGTTCAATCTCTTAGCCTAGTACCTGGCATAAAGTGAACACTGGAGATTTGTTAACTATGATAATTAGCAGTAGCTTTGGACAAATAACTGTGATTGCTCAACCTTTTTCTCTCCCTTTCTCCCCTTCGTCTTTTCTCCTCCCTCCTTTCTTTCCCTTTTTCCCTCCCTCCCTCCTTTCCTCAGTCTGCCACTGAGCTACACCCCTAGCCTGATTGCTCACCCTTAAAAGGAAAAGAAAAGGTACTTGATCTAACTCAGTGCACTCTTTGAACGATTAATTGAGCTGTAAAATGGTGTGAAAGCAAGTAAAATGCAGTCAAAGGAAACTAGTTATGAATGCATTCTAAACAATTTCATTATATAGTTTATTTGTACATTACAAGATGACAGTATAACAAAAACATGAAAACAAATGAAAGTCGCCTTGGGATCATCCTCATTTGGAGCCATGACTTATTTCCATTAGTTCACATAAAGAACAATTGATAAGCCACAAAAATTGATAAGGCTGGGATTACCATGCCTGTAAATCCCAGCTACTCAGGAGGCTAAGGCAGGAGGAGTCAAGTTCAAGGCCAGCCTGGGCAATTTAGGAAGACCTTGTCTGAAAAAAAAAAAGTACTAAGTATATAGCTCATTGGTGCAGTATCCCTGGGTGCAATCCACAGTACTGGAAAAAAAAAATGATACAGAAATTTATATAGGTTTAATATTTGAGCACAAATATATATTTATATATTTAATTTTTGATATCTCAAAATATGCATTTTTTTGTGATACTCTTTGCACTGAGCTATATTCTCCCTTTTTATTATTTATCTTTAAATTTTTGAGTTTTTTTTTTTGTGGTAACAGGGATTGAACTTGGGATTTTGCACTTTCGAGGCAGGCGCTGGAACTACTGAACTAATCCCCAGCCCTAAAATTTTGTTTTTTGTTTTATCCTATTTCCCTTCTAGGTGTTTTTTGTTTTGGTTTGGTTTGGTTTTTGGTACTGGGGATCAAACTCAGGACCTTTCACTTGCAAGGCAGGTGCAGTGCCACTGAGCTAAATCCCTGTCCCTTTATTTTTTATTTTGAGGGAAGTTCTCACTGAGTCACTAAGTTGCCCTGGCTGTACTCAAATTTGTGATCTTCTTGCTTCAGCCTTCCAGAGTGCTGGGATTTCAGCTGTGCACCACCATGCTAATTTCTACATGTTAAATTTTCTAATTTTCACCGTGCTAAAATCTACATTTTAACATTAGTTACATGCTGAGCTATTTTTTTTTTTTTTTGGTACCGGGGATCAGGCGCCAGAACCACTGAGCTAAATCCCTGGCCCAACATGCTGAGCTATTAAGTAAAGTGTGTGTGCTTTGAATGATTTTTGTCTTATGCTTTAAAATTTTGTAATATAAATTCATGCCTCTAATCCCAGCATTCTGGGAGGCTGAGATAGGAAGATTGCAAATTTGAGCCCAGTCTGGCCAATTTAGTGACTTGCTGTTACCAGGTTTTATGGTGCTGAGTTTCTCCATGTAGTTTCTAGGTTCTTTCTGTCTTGAACCAAGAACTGGGCAAGACAAGTATAAAAATGGCTAGGCATGGGCCAAGGATTTAGCTCAGTGGTTCTGCCGCCTGCCTTGAAAGCTCAAGGTCCCGAGTTAGATCCCCAGTACCCCCGCCAAAAAAAAGGCTAAGTGTAGTACACACCTGTAATCCCAGACCTTGGGAAGCTGAGGCAGGAGGATTGCCTTGAGTTCCAGGCCAGCCTGAGCTACATAGCATGACCTTGTCTCAAAAACCAGAAAATAAATAAAGACCCTGTCTCAAAAAACCTCTCCCCAAAACCTCAACAAACAAAAAAAGGTATAAAAAGAAAAGAAACATGCTCTGCAGAGTGAGTTCCGGCCAACTAAAAGTAGGAAAGAGCATACTTTTCAGGGTGAGAGCCAGCCACTGTGAAATAGAGAGCACAGGGCCAAGAGCTGCACAGCAGTTGCCTATTGTATCCCCCATTCCTCAGGCTGAAGTCAGGTCTAGGGCATCCTATCAAAACTGCTTGATTTCTTGGGAGAAGAATTGAAGCTAGCACTCTGATTGGTTCCAAGTACAAGGGTTGGGGACTTTTCTCCTGGACTTCTTGTGACTGACAGGTCACATCCACTTGCCCAGCTGGCTGGCCATGCCCCAATCTGCCAGACTCCTGCCTCAGCCTCCTGAGTATTGGAATCAGAGGCATGGGCCACTATGCCCTGGAAGGTTTTTTTTTTTTTTTGGTACCAGGGATTGAAACTTGGGACTTTGCACTTGCAAGGCAGGTGGTGGAACCACTGAGCTAAATCCCCGGCCCTATTCACATTTTAAAGTAGTAACAACTCGTAGATGGACATAGTGTGTAGTTACAGCTACTCCATAAGCAGAGGCAGGAGGATCAGGAGTTCAAGACCAGCTTCCACAACATAATAAGACCCTATCTCAAATAGTCATAATCATAATGACAATATCACCACCCAGGCTGGGGATTTAGCTCAGTGGTTTTGCCGCCTGCTGCGCAAGCGCAAAGACCCGAGTTCGATCCCTGGTATCCCCGCAAAAAAGAAATCACCACCCCATTTTACTGAGTGCTTAGTACATGTAAGATATTGAGGGAAAGTCTTCCTGTGGTCTTTTTTTTCTTCTTCTTTTTTTGGTGCTGGGGATCAAACTCGGGTCCTTGCGCTTTCGAAGCAGGCGGTGGAACCACTGAGCTAAATCCCTGGCCCTTCCTGTGGTCTTTGAGAAGGATCCCATGCTGCTAGCTTACCAGCATCTGACCCACGCCGAAGGCCAAGTAAGCACTTTGCTCTGTGTTCATCCACACCTAGGGGCCAGTGGCAGCTGGTAGGGACCTAGTACATATTCGCTGAATGTACACATGAATGGTTCATTTATGTGTGCAAGTTGGTTTTTTTAACAAAAGTGTCTTCCAAAAGAGGTGGTTATTTCAAATAGCACTTTCTAGCTGATTAAACACCTTCAAGTGTCAGTCTCCTTAACTATCTTTTAGCAAAATTCTCTTTGTTCATTGGGCATTAGGGACTGATTTACATTCCTGGAACTTACTTTTAAGTCTGATGTGCTCAATTAAGATGCAGTGAGGGCCAGGGATTTAGCTCAGTGGTGCCGGGCCTGCCTTGAAAGCGCAAGGTCCTGAGTTCGATCCTTAGTACAAAAAAAAAAAATGCAGGGAAGCTGGCCTGATGGCACACATCTGTAATCCCAGCACTCATGAGGTTGAAGCAGGAGGGCTACATAGTGAGACCCAGGTGAGCCTGAACTGTATAGTGAGACCTTGTCTCAAAAAGCAAACACCCAAAAAACCCAAAATAAATAAAAGAAATAAAAAGGGCCAGGGATTTAGCTCAGTGGCACCACGCCTGCCTTGTGAGCACAAGGTCCTGAGTTTGATCCGCAATACCAAAAAAAAAATTAAAAAAGCAAACAAACGGTCCAGGGAATGGGGCCAGTTCTCATGGAGACCGTTGTAAAGAGGTACAGGTTTGTTGTCTGGACAAATAGTGATTTCCCTCCTGGAAGAAATATTATGCAGTGTTTTTTCTGATCTTATAAATTTTTTTTAGGTATTGCTGGATGCTGTGCTAAAACAACAGTTGCTCCTTTGGATCGAGTAAAGGTTTTATTACAAGCTCATAATCACCATTACAAGCACCTAGGTGAGTTACAGATGCTAAAGAGGAAAAGGAGTAAAACAATTACCTGTTTGCCTGTATGGTTTCCAGCTGTGAATTATACCAGAGAGAGGATACAAAAGGAAATTCAAGTGTTAGGTAAATTTTTTTTTTTTGGTACTGGGGATTGAACTTGGGACCTTGCACTTTCGAGGCAGGCAGCAGAACCACTGAGCTAAATCCCTGGTCCTGTGTTTGGTAAATTTTGCTAGCAATGTACCTCTTGCCAGTTTTAATCTGTTCACTTGCAAGAGTGGTTATTTATATTATCATTTTGGGGTACTGATATTTTCCCTAGCCAAACTCTTTTTTTTTTTTTTTCCTAGCCAAAATCTTAAAGCAAGTAAGTACTATTTGTTTATTGGGATTAAAGATTTATAGTCCTCACAAACACAACAGCTCAGCCTGACATTTTAATCAATCAGTGATAGAGGTGAGGGGTGGTAAATGCAAGACTGAAATAATCACTTCTTTAAATATGTAGTAAGCACTCTGATTGTGGTGCGCTGATTATGGTGGTGCTGCCTGGAATCACAGCACTCTGAGAATAAAGCAGGAGGACTCTAAGTCTGAGCCCAGCTTGTGCAGTTTAGTGGCAAAATCCTGTCCTGAAAGTGGGGGATGTGCCCAGGATGTGGCTCAGTGTGAAGACACTCTGGGTTCAATCCCCAGCACCAAAAGAAACAAACAAACACAAGAAAAAACTCAAGGTTTCTAGAAAAAAAATTATTCCTGGTACTGAGGATTAAACCTGGAGCCTTTACTTTGAGCTACATCCTTACCTCTTATTTTTATTTTTTTAAATTTATTTTTAAGTATGTATGGGAGGGCATTTTTTGAGACAAAGTCTTGCTATTTAGTCCAGGCTGGCTTTGAACTCACTCTGTAGTCCAGGCCTCAAACTCCCAACGATTCTTCCATCTCAGCCTCCTGAGTGCTGGGACTACACGCAAGTGCCAGCACTCCTGGCTTTATTTTATTTATTTATTTTTTGCGGTACCAGGCATTGAACTCAGGACCTTGCACTTGTGAGGCAGGCCACTGAGCCTAAATCTCAGTGCCACTGAGCTAAATCCCTGGCCCTATACCTATGTTTAAAAAGTTTTTTTTTTAAATTTTGAGACAAGGTCTTGCCTAGTTTCTAAGTTGCCTAGGTTTGTTTGAATTTGCTGTTCTGCCTCAGCCTCCCAAGTAGCTGGAATTATAGGTATACTACCTTGTCAAGCTGCGTGAATTGCTTTTCCAGTTTGGAGGGGAAAAATTTTTTTTTTCAGTACTGAGGATTTAACCTAAATCCTTCACACTGAGCTATATCCTCAATCCATTTTATTTAATTTTTTATTTTGAGACCTGGTATCTAAATTGCTAAACTGCCCATGCATGTTTGAAATTTTGGATCTTCCTTCCCCAGCTCCCCACAGTGCTGGCATCACAGGTGTGTGCCGCCACACCCAGCTTGTTCATTTTTTTGAGAGTGTCTGTAGTCCAGGCCCCCCCTGAACTCACTATGTAGCCCATGCTGTGCTCCAACTTGGGATTCTTCTGCCTCAGCCTCCTGAGTGCTGGAATTATAGATCCGTGCCAGCATGCACAGTTTAAAAGATTTTTTATTAAAAAGAATTTTTTTGACCAAGGTCTTTTTGTTGTTGTTACCACCAGGGATGGAACTCAGGACCTCGTGCTTGCCAGGCAGGTGCTTTGCTGTTGAGCTACATCCTCAGCCCTTGAGACAAGAGCTTGCTATGCAGTTCAGGCTGGCCTTAAACTCACTGTGTAGCCTAGGCTGGCCTCAAACTCTTGGTAATCCTTCTGCCTCAGCCTCCCCAATGCTGGGATCATAGGCATGCACCACCATGCCCAGCCTATTTTTACATTTTTTTTTTTTGTGGTGCTGAGGATTGAACTCAGGGCACGACATATGATACACATGAGCTACACCCTCAGCTCAGGAGGGAAAAATTTTCAAAGAAAAAAAAAATATGTACAGAGACCAAGAAAAAAGTTAGGCTTCAGCAAGTAACTTCCCAGTGCGGTGGAGTCCGTGGTTCACCTCTCCATACTTCAGTGGGTCAGAGGGGTGTGTGCTGTGTTCGATCTACACAGCGGCACATAGCAAGAGGTTTAATAAGGTGAAGAGGATCAGTTGTTTTTCCAATTCAATTTTTCTTTTTTTTGGTACTGGGAATCGAACTCACAACCTCATGCTTTCAAGGCAGGTGCGGTGCCATTGAGCTAAATACCGGACCCTGTAGGTGATTTTTTTTTGTTTTGAAATGGGGATCGAACTTGGGACCTTGCACTTGCGCAATAGGCAGCAAAACCACTGAGCTATATCCCCAGCCCCAGTCATTTTTTTTTTTTTTTTTGGTACCGGGGATCGAACTTGGGAACTTGTGCTTGCGAGGCAGGCGGTGGAACCACTGAGCTAAATCCCCGGCCCTAAAGTGTATTTTTTTTTTTTGGTACCAGGGATTGAACTTGGGGACCTTGCGCTTTCGAGGCAGGCATTGGAACCACTGAGCTAAATCCCTGGCCCCCCAGTCATTTTTAATGCTAAGAAAGTCTGTACTTCATATTGAAAGAAAAAGTGCAGTTATCTCTCTATCCAGCAAAGAATTTTGTATCTCCACAGTGTCAAGAAAGAATCAGACTCTTGTACTTACTGAAAGATTATAAGATACTGGAAAGAAGGAATTGATTTTCTTTTGTTGTCTAAATTGACGCTGAAAAGAAGATGAATACCAGTATCTTGGGGTGTTTCACACTGACCCGGCCTGCGAATATCTGAGCAGGACTCTTGAGTCCCTTGTCCCTCCACCCCGTGTGCATGCATGCGCTCTGGCGCCGGCCGGTAGTCGCTAATTGCTTATTCACATGTCATTTCACGCTCTGTGGGGTTGCACGCTTGAAGTGGAATCCCTGGCGCACAACAGCGAGCTATTAGTATAGCTTCTGGAGTGTTGTGTACCTTTTAAGTATTGGTGGCTTTTATAATTTCATTCTTAAAAATATTTTTTTGGCGTTTTATTCTAGGTAGTCCCCTCTTTATAAGATAGTTCTTAAAATGGTGATTATATGAATGCATACATAGATAAGAAATAAAATGGATAAATAACATTGTACATTTTATAGTGGGTGTGGGGGCACACACCTGTAACTCTAGCACTCAGGGAGGCTGAGGCAGGAGGATCGCCAGGAGTTTGAGGGCAGCCTAGGCTACTTAGTGGTTTCAAGGCCAGCCTGAACTACAGTGTGAGACTCTGCTTCAAAAAAACAAAACAAAAAAACCCCCAAAACAAAACAGATTATACATATTTATGGGATACCATGTTTTTTTTTCTTTTCTTTTTGCAGTATGGGGGATTGAATCTAGGGCTTTGCTCTGAGCTATATCTCAGCCCTATCTCATTTTCATTGTCTCCTTGTCTCTCTCTCTATCGGTACTGGGAAATCAAACCTATGGGCACTCTGCCACTCTCTCTTTTTTTTTTTTGGAGACAGGGTCTCACTGTGTAGTTCAGGCTGGCCTTGAACTCACTCTGTAGCCCTGGCTGGCCTAGAAACCACAGCGATCTTCCTGATGCAGCCTCCTGAGTGTTGGCTGTGCCACCACACTTACTTTTTATTTGGAGACAGGGTTTTGCTAAGTCTCTGATTTGCCCAGGCTGGGATCAAACTTGTGATCCTCCTGCCTGAGCCTCCCAGAGGGCTGAGATCACAGGCCTGTGCCCTCACGGTCAGCTCATTGAACTGTTTTTTTTTGTTGTTGCTGTTTTTTTTGGTATGGGGAATCGAACTTGGGACCTTGCACTTGCGAGGCAGGCGGCAAAACCACTGAGCTAAATCCCTGGCCCTCATTAAAAATTTTTTTTTTATTAAAATGTTTTTAACAGGGGTTGGGAATGTAGCTCAGAGGCACAGTGCCTGCCTGTTAAGTGTGAGGCCCTGAGTTCAATTTCCGGTACCAAAAAAACAAAAAAATGTTTTTAACAGAAATATTTATGATCCTAAGTGTTTCAAAGAGTAACATTTATTCATTCACTCATTGGGTTTTTTGAGACAGGGTCTTGCTAAGTAGCTAATTGGCTGGGCTCGAACCTGCAGATCTCTTGCTTCAGACTCCCAAAGTGCTGGGATTGCAGGTGTGCTCAGGATGTGTCCTTCTGTAGACAGCTGAAGCCTCCTCCTCTGGGTACTTTGATCTTGTCATTAGCCTGCTTGTCCCTAATAGGTAACCACTGTTCTACATTTGACTGATTCTTAAATCAGTACAGATGATTTTGAATCAAATTAAACAAGACTTAACCTTTCCCCCTCTTCCAGCAAGATGAGGTCTTTAATTAATTCTTTTTAATAAAATATTTGTCCTGGGCTGGGAATTTAGCTCAGTGGTGCTGCACCTGCCTTGAAAGTGTGAGGTCCTGACTTCCATTCCTGGTACTGAAAACAAAAAAATTTGTCCATTTAGGTATTTGCTTATTAAAAAATGCTTTTGGGATATATTGTTGCTTGGCTGTTTAGTGTCTGCAGTTTTCATTATTAGAAAGGGCTCTAAAGGTTACCTGTGCCTGAAATTGAAAATGAACCCAGTCACTGACTTTTATATCTATTTTCATCACATTGATAGGGTAATGCTTTCTCTTATGCATGCATACCTGTGACAAAGTTTAATTTATAAATTAGGCACAAGAAGACATGAATGATAACTAATAATCAAATGGAACAATTAGAACAGTTTATAGTAATGAAAATTATATGAATTAGTTCTCTCAAAATACTGTATTGTACCAGGTTTTAATTTTTTTTTTTTTTTTGGTATTGGGGATTGAACTCAGGACCTTGTGGTTTCGAGGCAGGTGATGGCACCACTGAGCTAAATCCCTGGCCCATGTTTTAATTTTTTTTTTTTAATTTTTTTTTTTTGGTACCGGGGATCGAACTCAGGTCCTTGTGCTTTCGAGGCAAGTGGTGGAACCATTGAGCTAAATCCAGGGCCCATGTTTTAATTTTTAAAAAATGTTTTTATGGTGCTGGGATCCAACCCAGGGGGCCTGTGTACACAACACATGTCCTCTACCACTAAGCTGTGGTCCTAGCTCTGCAGCAGGTTTTCTGTTTTTTTGGGTTTTTTTGGTAATGGGGATCAAGCTAAATCCCCAGCCTACATTTTCTATTTTTATATGAGGTGTGCTTATTTATATTTATTTGAGTATATGGTATATTTTAAGTAAGTTTAACTGTTGTATTGAAATTACTATTTGTGTTATTTCTCTAGGCAAAATTCCATCATGGATGATGGCATAGTGATCAGCGATTTACTTTATCGGTGATTGTCCTGGAATTTTAAATTTGAGTAATTTTCTCTGTTTTAACTCTAAAATCTTTCTACTAATAGGAGTATTTTCTGCACTTCGTGCTGTTCCCCAAAAGGAAGGATACCTTGGATTGTATAAAGGAAATGGTGCCATGATGATTCGAATCTTTCCCTACGGTGCAATCCAGTTTATGGCATTTGAGCAATATAAAACGGTAGCTGAATTTTCCTCTTTTCTCTTTATTCTTGAATATCATGTTCACTTAGTCAAGAATTTTTTGTCTTTTTAGCCAACAGTTTGTTTTGATTTATTTGGGGTTTTTTTTGGTGGTGCTGGGGATTGAACCCAGGGTCTTGTGCATGTATGTGATTTGAGGTATTTAAAGTGATTTTGGCCGGGCGTGGTGCCTCATGCCTGTAATCCCAGCACTTGGGACGCTGAGGTAGGAGGATTGCCAAGAGTTCAAAGCCAGCCTGGGCTACCTAGTGAGTTCAAGGGCTCCCAGGTGCTAGGATTGTTAAACTTTAGAGAGTGTCTTGTCTTTTTGTGTCTGTGGTGCTGGGGTTGGAACCCAAGGACCCCTGCATGCTACCCATGGTTTACCACTAAGCGACATCCCCATCCCACTCAAAAGGTATCTTAGAGTGAAAGAAAGCAGCAAAGATGGGAACTGCATGCCAAGCTGGTTCATGAGAATTGATGCCATCAGTGGCCAGGGTTTCATTGTGTGTTATAGCTTACTCCTGCTACTCCCATTCACAATTTAAGGGTAGTAATATATAGTATGGTAATTCTAATACAGATAATAATTTTAAGCTAGATTGTGTCTGCAGAAGTACAGAAATTTAGGGGGTGAGCATGGAGGTGCACACTGGTAATCCCAGCACTCCAGAGGCTGAGGCAGAATTGCTGGGAGTTCAAGACCAGCCTGGGCTACACAGTGAGACCCAATCTCAAAAAAAGTGCAAAAATTTAGGAAGAAGCTATAGAAGAAATACCTCTTTCTGGTGTGATGAGATATTCCCTAACTTTGTGCAGTTTTGCTCATTTTGTTCACATCTCTTACTACATTTTGTTAAACCTGTACTTCTTAAAGAAATCTTGATTATTAAGTGAAATGGACAGCATTTAAAACATGTCTCATTTAATTTGATGTCTTTGGTTTCTAGTTGATTACCACAAAGCTGGGAATTTCTGGTCATGTGCACAGATTAATGGCTGGATCCTTGGCAGGTAAGAGGAGTAGCTATTTGTTTTTTTTGGTACTGGGGATCAAACGCAGGACCTTCCACTTGTAAGGCAGGTGGTGGCACCACTGAACTAAATCCCTGGCCCAGCTATTTGTATTTTTGAGAAGTTAATTTTCTTTTCAATTTACTTAATTTGATTTAGGTAATATGTGTGACATTGACCAAGAAACCCCCAGTCCAACTGCAAAAATAAAACAAAACAAAACTATGTGGAAAGCATGCATTCTGTTTTGCAATCCTTTGATTTTGTTTTGTTTTGTTTGTGGTCCTAGGGATTAAACCTAGGGCCTTTGTACCAGAGCTACATTCTCAGTAGTTTTTAAAAACATTTATTTATTTATTTAATTTCAATTTTTTTTTTTTTTTTTTTTTTTGCAGCACTGAGGATTGAATCCTGGGTCTTCCCACTGAGCTACATCTCCAGCCCTTTTATTTGTGATCCTCCTGCCTCAGCCTCTTGAGTGTTGGATTACAAGTGTCCACTATGATGCCTGGCTGAAAAAAAATCTTTAAAAAATTAACCTCAGCTAGGTAGTTTATGGAACTTGAAGTCATATGTTTACAAAAATACAGAACTTAAGGGCCAGGAATTTAGCTCAGTGGTTTTGTCGTCTGCTGCGCAAGCGCAAGGACCCGAGTTTGATCTCTGGTACCAAAAAAAAACAAACCAAAAAAAAATACAGAACTTAATACTAAACTTGCTTAACATGAGCATGTTTGATCTCTAGTAAGAATTGTTTCTGTGATCTTGAGTATTTCTATTTTTATTATGCTTGGTCAATAACAAATTAACCTAAATTCTAAAAAGAAAATAATGGGGCTGCGGATGTAGCTCAGTGTTAGACCACTTGACTAGCTAGCATACATGAGGCCCAGATTCAATCTCTAGTGTTACCAAAAAACAAAGCAAAACAAAATCCCGAAGCAAACAAACAGTAAATAAGAAAGAAAATTATGGTTGTGTTCTTTTGTGTACATTTTGTGTAAAACCTCATCATAGGAAGCCAGATGTGTGGTGGTGCCCACCTATAAGCATAACTACTAGGGAGGCTGAAGCAGGATGATCATTTGAGGCCAGCCTGAGCAACATAGTGAGGTTGTCTCTTTAAAACAATACTTAACTATCTATTGATACTGTTCTATTTTGGCTCAAGTAATATAACTTCACAATGGAAAGAAGAAGAAAATTTTCCAAACTGACTTTTTACTTCTTTGTGTTTGTTCATTTTGAGACAGGGTCTCACTATGTAGTTCAGGCTGGCCTTGAGCTCACTGTGTATCCCAGGCTGGCCTCAAACTCTCACTGATCCTTCTGTCTCAGCCTCCTGAGTGCTTGAGGGGATCCTCCTGTCTCAGTGCCCTGCTTCATTTGTTTGCATAATTGCTGTATTTTAAGAGTGCTAACAACAGAGAATACATGAATATTGTATTCATATGTATATATATGGTATATATATGTTTATATGTGCATAGATATATACATATACATGTCAACAGTTTTTTTCTAACCTGGGCATAGTGGTGCATTCTAGGATGCTGAGTCAGGAGGATCACAAGTTGAAGCCCAGCCAGCCTAGGCAATTTGGTGAGACCTGTCTCAAAATAAACAACTGAAAAAATGGGCTGGGGATGTAGATCAGTGAAAAGGCCCTGGCATTCTGTCAACTTGTGGCTTTCTTCTCAGGCATGACGGCAGTTATCTGTACTTACCCTCTTGACATGGTCAGGGTGCGCCTAGCGTTCCAGGTGAAAGGGGAGCACACCTACACAGGAATTATTCATGCATTCAAAACAATTTATGCAAAGGTATTTTATACTTAACTTTTCTCGTATATGACATGTCCTTTTCATTTAGGAAGATATTTTGAAAGATATGTAATTATTTTATTTATAATATTGATATTAATAATAATCATTATGAAAGCTCATTTTTGTGTTTCAGGAGGGATCTCAGAATAATGTTTTTATTATGTTATGTGCTTTTTGTCTTTAAGCATAATCTAATTTCACTTTCAATTTTGCTTCACTCAAAGGAAGGTGGTTTCCTTGGATTTTACAGAGGCCTGATGCCTACTATATTAGGAATGGCTCCGTATGCAGGTATGTTTTGGATAAGCAGTGTTAGTTGTATGTTTAAATTATGGCATTAAGGTGGTAACATGAAAAGCTGCTGTCTGAAAAGTCCCTTCACTTAAGAAATGATGAGTGGGCCAGGGATTTAGCTCTGTGGTACTGGTGCCTGCCTCACAAGTGCAAGGTCCCAAGTTTGATTCCTGCTACCCCCCCAATAAAAAGAAATGATGAAAATAAAATTATGATCCATACATGGTCATGTAGTAATAGCTTGTGTGTAAAGATGGCTACTCATGTACCAGGAGGAGAAAATCCACGTTTACTTCATTTTCTTAATATCTGAGCCAGCTGTAGTCTTGTTAAGTCATACTTATTTCAGATTGTTGTTAAGGATTCCATTTTTATGAGTATTTTCATTAAAAGTAAGAGTTGGAGCATATTTTTTCTTTCATTTTAAGTGATGAAAACTTATGGGAAATTTAAAAAATATAGAAAAGTAGGGCCAGGGATTTAGCTCAGTGGTTCCGGCGCCTGCCTCAAAAGCACAAGGTCTTGAGTTCGATCCCCAGTACCAAAAAAAAAATACAGAAAAGTAGAAGAAATATGATACCTATAGTTCTCTAATCTCCATTGTTACCTTGTTTATACTTGTCTGTTAACTAGTTTTTGAGTTTTAGATCATTGTAGATTTTAATGCAGTTGTAAGAAATAATATGGAGAAATTGTGTGAACTTGTTACCTAGCTTCCCCTATTGGTAGTGTCTTATAAAGCCGTAGTATAATACCACAACTAGGGTATCGACATGAATAATGTATATTCAGGACACAGGATAGGAGCCCGAACCTGTGGCTGGTGCCTGTATTCCCAGCTGCTTGGGAGGCTGAATCAGGAGGATTCCAAGTTTGAGGCCAGCCTGGGCAAATAAGATCCTGTTTCAAAATAAAAAATAAAGAGGGCTGGGGAGGTCATTCATGGGTAAAGGACCCACTGGTTCAATGCCCAGTGACAGTGACAGATACACACAGCAAAATTCCCATTTGTGGGCTGAGGATATAGCTCAGTGGTAGTGTTCACCCTGCAGGCTGGAGGCCCTGGGTTCCAAACTCAGAACTTTGCCTTTTGGCACTACTAGGGATTGAACCCAAGGGTGCTCAACCACTGGGCTATATTCCCAGCCCTCTTTAATGAACGGGGATTGAACCTAGGGCCTTCCCACTGAGCGACCTCCCCAGCCATGTTTGTTTTATTTTGAGACAGGGTCTTGCTAAGTTGCTGTGTTGTCCAGGCTTGGCTGGAACTCGTGATCCTCTTGCCTCAGCCTCCCAGAGCTCTGGGCTTTCAGGCTTGTGCCACTATGCCCAGCTTCATGGCCAGCACTTTAAAAATAAACAAACAGGGGCTGGGGATTTAGCTCAGTGGTTCCACAGCCTGCCTCCAACGTGCAAGGTCCTGAGTTTAATCCCTGGTACCAAAAAAACGGGCTGAGGTTTTAGCTCAGTGGCACCCCGCCTGCCTTGTAAGTATAAGGTCCTGAGTTTGATTCCCAGTACCAAAAAAACCCCCAAAAACAAAGAAATACAAAAAAATTTTTTCCTGTTGGTATTACTTTTGTTTTTTGTGCTGCTGAGGATTGAATCCAGGATATTGTGCATGCTAGACAAGAGCTGTACCACTGAGTTACTTCTCTAGCCTGGTATTAGCTGACTTTTAATCTTTGTTGGGCATATGAAGTCACTTTTTTTCCTTTTGGTGTGGTGTTAAGGATCAAATTCAGGGCCTCTGACTTGGTGGGAAAACGCTTTACCACTGAGCTATCCAAAAGTAACTTGTAAGGTTTTATTTTGTGTTTCCCTGGCTACTAATGAGGTTTGAGCATCTTTTTTATATTTACCAATTCCATTTCCTTTTCTATGAAGTACTTTCTCATGTATTTGGCCTACTTTCCTATTGGGTTGTGTTTTTCTTAGTATATGTTGGAAATATCTTCTCCCTGTTTGTGGCTTGGTGTTTGTTGGTTGGTTGGTTGGTTGGTTGGTTGGTTGGTTGGTTGAAGACAGGGTCTTGCTATGTATTCCAGGGTGGTCTTGAACTCACTATGTAGCCTGGGCTGGCCTTGAGCTCACTGCAGTCTTCTTGCCTCAGCCTCCCTTGTGCTGGGATTACTGGCGTGCATCACCACGCCCAGCTGGCTTTTTCATTTTTTTATACTGTTGTTTGTGGGGTTTTAGTTGTTGCTGTTGTTGTTTTGTGGGGCTGGGGATTGAACCCAGGACTTTGCTCTTCCTAGGCAATTTTTCTACCACTGAGCCATGTCTCAAGTCGTTTTTTTGTTTTTGGGGGATTTTTTTTGGTACCAGGGATCCAACTTGGGACCTTGCGCTTGTGAGGCCAGAGGTGGAACCACTGAGCTAAATCCCCAGCCCACAAGCCATTTTCATAGGGCACTTAGTGAACAGAAATTCTTGGGTGTTTGGTTTTTGTTTTTATGGTAACATCTCTGTGGACATAATTCACATGTTATGAAATGTGCCCACGTAGGTGTACTGTGTATTAGTTTTAGTGTATTCAGATGGTTACACAATGTCACCCGGGGGACTTGAGAAGGTTTATGTTGTCTCCAGAGGGAGCCTGCACTCCTTGGCCCTGACTCCTCGCTCCTAAGCAACCCTTGCTCTGCTGCTGCTCTCTGGACGTCTCCTGTGAAGCAACTCGTGGCACATGGCCTCCTCATGGGCCTCATCCTCTGTCCAGTGCCCTGGGTTCATCTGTCCTCCTGGCCGATCTCTGCCCACTGTGTGGACCCGTGCGCTTCCTGTGTTCGGCAGGTTTTAGCATTTGGGTTGTTGCCCCGCCTTTTGGCTGCTCCAAGTGACACTCAGGAAGGAGTTTCGTGTGGGATGTGTTTCTGTGTTTCTTGGGCATCTGCTTAATGGGGTGTCATGTTTTGAGGAGCTGCCAGACCCTTTTCCCAGTGGCTGTGGCATCTGATGTTCTTAGTAGCAGTGTGAGTTCTGACTTTCCCACGTCTTTGCCAGCACTTGTCATTGCCTGATCGATCACTCAGCCATCCTGCTGGGTATACAATAGCATCTCATTGTGGTTTTGAGCCTCATTCCCTTGTTCATTGCTGAGTCCTATTTCACTGCATGGGTACAGCACAATGCATTTGTCCCTTCTTCTATTGATGGACGTACAGTTTCCAAATTACTGCCATTAAAATGAAAATCGCCACAGACATGTGTTTATTATATATTTTGGGAAAATACTTAAGAGTAGAATTGCTGGGTCATGGAATAGGTATACATTAAATTTATAGGAAACTTTTCAACTGGTTCTACTTGCCTGTGATGTATGAGAAATACATTGTTCCACGCTTCTCCAACATTTGCTGTTGCTGTTACCTTTCTTTTTTTTCTTTGGTGGGGTGGTACTGGGGATCAAATCTAGGACCTTTGTATTAAACTCCATCTCTGGCCCTTTTTTATTTTATTTTTTATTTTGAGACAAGGTCTCACTAAGTTTCTCAGTTTCCCAAACTGAGCTGGAACTTGTGGTCCTCTTGCCTCCACCTTCTGAGTTCTGGGATTACAGGCGTGTGCCACCACAGTCAGCTGTTAACTTTTTAACTTGTTCTTGTGATTCAGAAATTTAAGTTTTAATGTAGTTGAATTTATAATTACATTCTTTTATGTATGGTGCCTTTGTATCACAAATATATATATATATATATATTTTTTAAGAGAAATATTTATTGATTGCTTGTTATGAATCAGTCTTTGTGTGTTTTTTTTTTTGGTACCGGGTATCAAACTCAGGACCTTGCGCTTTTGAGGCAGGTGGCAGCACCACTGAGCTAAATCCCAGGCACACAAATATATTTTTAAAGTTTAGTATTTTGTACTTAACCTCTTAATCCATCTGGAATTTTTTCTTTCAGGATAATCATTCAGCCCAGCACCCTTCATTATTAGTGTTTCCTTTCCCTAGTGATCCACAATGCTATATTTTAAAAAATGGAGTTCAGGTTTATAATAAGTCCTCACATTTAATAAGAACAATCCTTTACCTTATGCTTCTCTTTTTTCATGAATGTCAAGAGGTATAGATATTTTGCTATTCTATAATTTTATTCCTGTTTTTTCATTTTTTTCTATCTATAATTTTTTTAAAAGTAGCTTTTAGCCAGGCATGTTAGTACAAGCCTACAATCTAAGCACTTGGGCGGCTGAAGCAGAAGGATCTCATGTTTGAGGCCAACCTGGGCTACACAGTGAGTTTAGTGCCAGTCAAGACTACATAGTCAGATCCCATCTCAAAATAATTCGTAAACAAGCTGGGTGCAGTGGTAACTCCTGTATTCCCAGCACTAGGGAGACTGAGGCAGGAGGATCACTGTAAGTTAGAGGCCGACCTGGACTACCCAGGGAGACCCTGTCTCAAAAAAAAAAAAATTTCAAAACCAAACAGTAAAAGCCAGGTGTGGTTGCAGATGCCTGTAATCTCAGCACTCTGGGAAACTGAGGCAGGAGGACAGTGAATTCAAGCTCAGTCTGGGCAATTTATTTTTTATTTTTATGTTTTGGTACTGGGGATTGAACTTGGGACCTTGTGCTTCCAAAGCTGACCAAGTCTGGACAATTTAGCAACTTGGCAAGACCCTGTCTCAGAATTTAAAATAAAAAATGGGTAAGGATATAGCTCAGTGTGAAAGCCCTAGGTTCGGTTCCCAGTACTTCAGAGGAAAGCTCCTCATATTGCACGAAAATCCTTCTTAGGATTCTGCATGGAATTTCAAACAAGTTTTGGACATTTTTGTTAAATATGTTTGTAGATCCTGTACTAATTTTGTCGTGTCTCTTATACCTTTATGTGCTTTCGGCTTATTATTTGATTTAGTTTTCTATGATATTATAGCTGGTCATTTTCCTTCTGTTGATACCATTATAACCAGCACCATGTTACCTATACTTGCTTTGGATTTGCTACATCACAATCATATCCTGTGCAAATAATAGCACTTTTCTTC